TCCCAAGGAAGAAAAAAAAATATATATATAAACCTGAGATTTTTATAGTCGGGTTTATTTTTGTTTTATTTGTTGCTGTTGGTCGTTAGCTGCAGAGAGTTGAGCATCAGTTGCGGCAGCTGCTCTTCGAGTCGTTGGGGCAATATTTTCTTTTATAGACTTTACGTTTTGTATCCCAGTTGTACAGGCCGAGCCAGTCCGCACGGCACGCCCACAGCCCACAGCCCACAGCCCACACAATCCACTCGCTTGACCTCTTCAGACATATTTTCGCTTAGAAGACAAAAGAAGAAAAAATTGACTTTTATGTGCGAATATTGGTACAGAGGTGGGTGGATGTGTGTGTGTGTGTGCTAGTGAGTGTGTCTGTCTATGTGTGTGTGTGTGTTTGTGTGTTGGTTGCGAAAGTTTTTGGAGAACGTGCTCACCGTTCAGCTATCTGTGGCTCGGCTTTGGTCAGCTCTTATGGATTATGAAAGATATACATACATATACAGTTATTCCTTTGCCTCTCATAAAGAGCATGACTTATTTCTCAGCATAGCTTGCGTGGGCGTGGCCACAGCCCCAGAGCTGCTCTACTATGCCATTTCCTGATTGCCTGACGCATATTAGCTATGCGAAAGCCCGTCCAAAAATAGCTCAAAGAGACGAAATGAGCTGAAAAAAGAGGGAATTGAGCGCATTATAAAAGAGAAAGCTGATTGACTTTAAAGTGTCTTCAATTCAAATGGCTTCTGATGAATTCAATACACTTAATGGTTTCTCTCGATCGAGCTGAGCTGCGGAAGCAGTGAAGCCCGCACTTCAGTTGCAATTTCTTTTACCGAATAGAGATACATTAAAACTGAAAACATTTTCGTAAATATTTGCAAGTTGTATTTGTAAGTAACACAATGAAAGGCAGACAGATATATGTATGTATACATACATATATATATGTATATAAATACATATACATAAATGGAGCGAAGCCTTTATAAGCAACACAACAAATTCTCGACATGATGACAGACTGACAAGCAGACAGACGAACAACCAAGTGTGTGTGTGTGTATGTGTGTGGTTCACTCTTTTGCCAGAACTCAATGTCTCGACTTCAAATGTGGACAGTTGCACGTGCCAGCGGAATGGACATAGACATAGACATAGACACAGACACAGACATGGGCCATGTCAGAGAATAAAGTTTGTGCAAAATGTTTGTATGCCATATAGCGTACAACAAGAATGGGCCCGCACCCTTGCCCTCGCCCGCTGCCCACATATGCTCGTGTATGTAGATGTGCCTATATAGTTGACCAAGATACGCATCTCGCAACAGCAGCAGCCGCCAGTGGAGCTGGAGTTTGGCAGCCTATGGGGTTTGGGGCATAAAAACATTAATTCAGTCGAAGGTCGAACAACTACTACATCCACACTCACACACACACACACACACACACGAGCAGCATGTAGCTCGTTATAAGCCAGTGCAGGGTTGAGACTTGTCAAAGAGAGAGAGAGAGAGAGGAGGGAGGGGAGTCTAGGTTAGATGGGGCTTTGGGTCGTCAACGCTGTCTCACTCCAATAACATAAAAATTTGTTGTTGTAAATCTGCTCAGCACTTTGTGCGTGAGTGTAGCACAGTTTAATAGCAAAGCACACACACACACAGACACACGCACACACACTTAAATACGGCGGCATACACGTAATCTGTTGTGTAATGTCTTTAGTTGTGTCAACTGTGCTACATGTTGTGCCCCAGCAAGAGCAACAGCAACAGCAACAGCAACAGCAACAGCAACAGCAACAGCAACAACAAAAACAACAACAACAACAGCAACAGTGATGGCAAATCAAGCGTTAGGGCGAGCGGGGAGCAGGCATTGTCCGTTGTGCGCTGTCTGCCGAGGCAAAAACAGATTCAGAGTGAGTGCGAAAAATGGCAGCATGCTGAGTGCTCCACGCTCTTTCTCAGTCAAGTTGAAGTTTTGAAACAACATTTAGATAAATTTCCCCCGAGAGTTGCCCAACGCGTTGCGTTGCTACAAAAAAAAAAAAAAAGAGAGGAATACATTGCTAAAAGAATCATGTAGTTGTTACAGCAATAACAGCAACAACAATTGGCCATTGCAGCTGAAAATGTAAAGCGAAACTATCTGAAAGCCAACTGAATATAATGTTTTCAAAATGTCCAACAAACTTCGACTACAGCAGAATTCATTCACTGCATTTTAATTGCAGCTTTTAGTTTTCCTGGAACATTTTAATCAATATAACTAAACTTTGATTAAAACAAGTCAGGGAAACAATTCATAATTCAGGCTTTATCAGTCATGAACAGGACTTTAATGAAGTGTAATTAACTTGGCTGAAGAGTGAAAGGCTTCAGCATAATGAAGCGCTACTAAATACAAGGCATGGCAAATAATTGTTCATTATATTAAGTATATATAAATACGGGCATGTCTTTAATTAATTAAAAACTTTTTTTATATAAAGTAGTTAAGGTTTCTAGTTCAATTCCCTATTAAATGCAATAATAAATAAATAAATAAAAATAAAAATGAAGAGTTAAAATTATAACTGATATGTACATATGTAAAAAATAAAAATACAATAAAATAAAATAAAAAGCAAAAATAAAAATAATAAAAATAAAATAAAATAAAAAATCAAAATAAAGATAAAATAAAATAAAAATAAATTAAAAATAAAATTAAAATTTATAATTTATTTAATAAATTAAAAATAAAGTAAAATGAAAATAAAATAAAATAAAATAAAAATAAATTAAAAATAGAAAAAAATTTATAAAAATATGTAATATATATATTTTATGTTTAATATATAATTATTCATACATATATATTTCTTATACTCCCGTTCTCCTTCTCATTTGTAAACTACTTAAATTCCAATCGAAAATTTGACACTCACTTTACCCATAATTGCTTAATTATGCTGAAACCAAGCCAAAGTCAGGGGCATGTTGGAGTTCGTGTGTTGTTTGCTTTAATTGCACATGCCACATTACCTCAGATACTCCTTTTCATCGGCAGCCGCTCCTCAATAGTCGAAGGTCGTAAAATGGCTGAAAATGTTTGACTTTGTTCACTTGGAATAAGTAAGAGCTGCTCTATTTAGTTGCTCGACTGTGCACTTGGTGGTTTCGCCATTAAGCTATTATGGGCGGGGGCTGTCGCAGTGGAGTATGTCATGTGGTTGCCATTTCGTTGCGATGATGGCATTTCATACTGGCTGGGAAGGCGAGGGGGAAGGCGCACAGACGAATAGAAAACACTGCTCAACCGAATTGAGTAACATTTGTGGCATAGCTGTTGCCAAAACTTTAGCACAAATTTCATCGAGCTAAATGTCAAGTCATTAATATTCAAGCCATAAAGGCTTTGCCACATCCACACAAGCACAGACACGCCCACACACACACACAGACACACATACGCACACACGTATATATACACTTATTCCAGGAATTTAAAAACTCTGTTTCAACAACGACAGCTCAATGTGGCCTCGACTGGCAAATAATATTTAATTAGAGAATTGTTTAGACAAACTTTTTAATTACGTTCATCGTTGTGTGAGTGCGTGTTTGTGTGTGTGTGTGAGTTATTAAGCGACCCGCATAAATCTTCAGATGTGTCTGGGGCTTCAAATTTTCGTGAAAAATGCACGCTCGACTGGTCGCTCGACTCTCGTGCAACGCCCTTGTCTGCGCCCACCGCCCACCGCTCACCGCCCACCAAACGGGATGCACGCTGCCAGCAGCGAGGATCTGCCACGCCACGCCCTGCCACGCACCGCCTCTGCATGCCGCCCTTTTGGCTCTGTGTGCTGGCTGACAGCCGGGACGAGCTGTGACCGTCAGCTGCATAAATTTCAAGCGACAGCAACATTAAAGTCAACATTTTGCCAGTGGCCTACATTTGCGAGGAGCAGTGGAGCGGTGGAGTGGTGGTCCTTCGCAAGGGAACTGGGCGCTCAGTTCTGGCCTGGGAGCTGATACTGGAAAATGGTACAGCTCCTGCTGCTGCGAGTGTCCTTTTAGCTTGACTGCCTCCGCCTTTCGCTTTCGCTGACATGTTGCTGCACACACACAGGCACACACAGACACTACTTATGTCATATGTGTGTGCGTGTGTGTGTGTTTTTATGTAGATGAGTTGGCAGTAACGTGCGCAAAATTATGAAGATGAATTTCTCTGTGGCATTTTTTTCTTAGTCACTTTTTTCCCCATTGAAAATAAAAGAAATTGTAAGCCTCTGAGTAGCTCAAAGAGCATAATTTCCACTGCAGTCACAAAGACGGACGTTGCCTGAGCCATTGCACGGCTTTAAGCTGCTCTTAGCAGAATATGAAACTCTGCAGAAAAAAAAAAGAAAATAAAATACATTCAACGTTGAAGAGCCAAATTATATCTTTAATTATATTTATATCTTTAATTAATATCAAAATAACTAAGTGTTGATCATACCAAGTTCTCATTATGTATTGTAAAAGTAAATTCAATAATAAATAATTTTATTTACATTTTATTTTACTCCCTTTGGCATGTCTTCGGGGCAGCCGTGCTAATTTGCTGTGAGGCCGCACTCTAAACTGTTTCAGGGCTAATTAGATAAGAGGCAATACAAATGGAGTGATGCATTTTAGTGATATGTGTTGCGGCGCTCAATACAAATTGCATTAGCTGCGGCATGTGGCAGGGCCAATTGGGTTCACTAAGTCCGCAAATGGCGCAACTTGAGATAATTAATTGAGCGCAAAACTAAACACGAGAGCAGCAAAAGCAATTATCTACAATAATACTCAGACTAACACACACACACAGACATTCGAGATTGTGCTGACCACACACACACACTCAGACGCCCATCAATAGAGCCAAGTAGAGTAAATCACTTGGCATTTAGCAGTCCAAAAATAAATCGATTCTCGACTACTATTAACGCTACATTAAAAACCCTGATTGCCCTTTGTTTCATTCCAGATAAATGCGCCAGCAGACAAACAGACAGACACGAGTCCAAGGGATACGAAATTGGCTCCCAAACCTGACAGATGTTGTTTTCCCAACAAGAATAACAATTCAGCCGAGTAGCTCAAGTGGAACCCAGCCGAACATGGCATTGGGCCAAGGCTTATTTACAAAGCAGCAAATGGAGTGTGTATGAAAATAGCAGAGACTAGAACAACAACAGCAACAGCAACAGCTTTAGATCAAAACTGATAAACTAAAACAATAAACAAATAAATAATCGTATGCAAAAATTATCATCAGAAAGAAGCGTAGAAGCTCTGGCTCCATAAAATTGGCCATAAAATCAAAACGACAACGACTGAGCCGTCCCATAAAAAAGCGTCGATTCTTCGGCTCCAGTAAACAATTTATATTGCATACATACATATACATATATATCACGAATAAGTTTTATTTGGCGAATTCCGTCAGCGTGTGCACAAACCAGGTCCTTGCACATTGCGTATACGCCACGTGTTGCCAGCGTCAGCAGAAAATATAAACCGACAGTGAGAGAGAGCGAGAGAGAAAATATAGTTTGATTTTATTTTTGGCTAGGTGCTAAATGCGTTTACATATCTCTGGCGCGGCAATTGCCGCCTCCGCCACCAGTGCAGCGAAATAGAAGTGAAAGTGCAAAGATTCGCATTATTTCTGCGTAGGCGAACATTAATCTCTGGCTAGGCGAGGCGAAGGGCGCAGTATGCTGCGCTTGTGGAAAAATCGATCCAAAATGCGAACAGACGCCGCTAGCATGAGCAGCAGCAGCACCACCAACACCAACTCCACTAGTACCACCACCACCACCACCAGGACCACATTCACCGACAGCAGACAGCCACATCGCACCAAGCGGCTGGCACAGTTACTTATTGGCGGCATCCTCTGCATGACAATTGGTAAGTTGTGAAAAGTATTTTTGCGAAAATATTATTTAAAAGCATTCCGGTGATTATTGCCCTGATTGCAATTACAATTTCAATCACTTTATTTGCGCTTACTTAATTAGTGTTTGCCGCTCCTCGAGCTAATTAACAAAGTGCCCGAAATGCTTTTGGGCTAATTAATCAAATTAAAAGCTTTCATTGCACTCAGACAACCCAAAAGTTTGCCTGACCTCAGCTTACGCATTTATGATTAAGTATATTGCCGAAACTTGGCCAACTGATGCAAAGCAAATAAGTAATTGGTTTATTTGAAAGTTGCCTTCATTCGTCATGAGACAGGTAATGCCAGTCGATTGAGTTGGATTTAGAAATATTTTAAGGCTGAAAACACAATGAGAAAATCATATATAGAAAGGACTTGCATACAGTTAGACAGTTAGAAATTCTCCAACTCTGTTGTTAGCTTTAAGCTAGTATTTAATTATTATACTAGACCCAATTTGTAATGTATTACAATGAAATGCTGGAGCGCATTCCACTTTAGCTGCAGCTCCATGGCAGACATGTGCGAGCATGCACGATGTATGTCCCTCAGCATATATACTTAACATTTGAACTGATCGAGTGCCCGGGTGATATTTTTTTAACTCAGTCCTTAGGGGCTGGCACACATTTGCAATTGCTGGCAGCGCAGTTCGATTGCAGTGCAGAGTGGAAAAAATATTAAATTAAATGAGAACGAATTGTCGCCAATTAGATACCCTTTCATCTTTCATATGAGAATGCATAAACTGTATAGCAGAAGTAAAATGGGCGGAATTTGCATTCAGATTTTCTATGCCGGTTACAACAGGATGAATTTCATTTAACTAACTCATGTATGGGGCATTCAGGCTCTAATCCAATATTGCATGCGAGCTGCCAAATTGGTTTAACTCTTTGGCCAGAGCAAGTGTTGCCGCAGCTGGTTGCATAAATTGCGCCTGCTCTTTTTTTTTTTTTTTGTTGGTTTGACACGCATTCGTCCTGTGGGCTAACAGGGCTATATTTTTTTTGCCATTTTTTTTTTTATTCAGCGCCTGCATTTGCCACGTGCTCGCATGCAAATAGTCACATTCAATCGTACGTGCACTTCATGTTGAAACGGTTAACTCACTTAGCCAAGAGGCTGCCAATTCTCCGCCTTCCGCCTGCCGCCCCCCACACGGCCGGCGGCTTAATCACGGCGCCATTCAGCCTAAAATTGCTTTAACTTTGCCCTTTAATTGGCTTTACTTAGAGCTTTTCGCTGGAAAAGTGTTGACTGAAAATCTGGATTGCACAAAACCAAAAAAGCAAAAAAAAAAATGAGGAAATTTATGCTTGCCCCATTGCTGTTATAAGAAGCTATTAGCGTACTTTTCCCTGTCGCCGCAGACCTAAAAAAAAAAAAAACACAGCAGAAGTGAAAAAAAAGGCAAAACATGAGAACATAATTCATGAGCTCCGGCAAAATGTTGAATTGTAAATGATCAAGCGAGAGACAGAGGACGGCTGAAAAAAGTAAATGGGGAAGCAAAAGGCAACGCAAATGAGCAGACAAATATGACAGAGTGAGCGAGAGAGACAGGAAGAGAGAGAGAGAGAGGGGAGGAACCGAGATGGGAGCCATAAAGAATTCTGTTGGATTTGTGTGTCATAACGGGGCTCGCTGTGCGAGTCGAGGCAAAAACTTTACAGTTCAGCCCCCTCCATGCAGCCCCAATAACTAATAACTAGTACCTCAACTTATATCGTGCTTATAAAATATCTTTATTGATTTTTCGCTCTACGCTTTGCTGAGAGTTTCACAGCCAATTCCCAGCCCCGCAGCCTCATTGACTTTTGCCTCTTGCCTTGGCTCGGCTTGGCTTGGCACTGGGCGTAAGATTGATTTATTTGCCACTGCGTTTCACAGAGGGATGGGGCAGAAGCAAGGGGCAGGGGGTCTCCATTTTCTTTTTTTTTAAAGCATTATTCATAACTTTTTCCATGCGGTTGCGGCTTTGCTGTAATTTATTTCTGAAGCAGCTCCAAATAAATTGACCGAAATTTGTTAGCATTTAAAAATGATTTGCATGCCGGCCAGGCGGCCCGCCTCCATCTCCTGCGAATGACCCGGCCGCCCTCAAGCGCAGCCGATTGGCTCCCCATTCGGCTGCTCCATTGGCCATCGAGTCTTGGTGGGGTCAAAAGAAAAACTAAGACTTTCGGCCACACTTAAGCACTGTAATGTGCGTGAGCAGCCACGTTACGTATACGCCATGCAGTCCGTCTATAAATTATGGCTATAAAAATAAAATCAACGGCGGCTTGCTTTGGCTCTGGGGCAGCGTTACATTGTTTTCATTTCGCTTTCCATTGCTTTATTTATTTTGTTGGTCGCATTTTACTTATGAGCTTTATTTTAGTTTTTTTGTCTTTATTTTTTGGCTATTTTTTCGCTGGGTTGTGGGAAAACTTTTCACTTTCCTTTTTAGCTAGGGACATTATTTCAGTGCTTTCATTTCCGTCCGTTTTTGGTTTTATTGCAGTTTTCAGCTGTCGCAGTGGCTGTCTCTCGAATCCTTGCGCCCTGCTCCGGCTGCTGTTCCACTTTCCGATGCCATTCACGCATTTTGCCTGTTTGTTTTTGTTTTTTTTTTTGTTGTTTTTTTTTTCCGCCGAAATAAATATAAAAAAATTCGCTTCCAGTTCCGTCTGCCATTTTCACGAATTTTTCTTCTGCAGCATAGAAAGAATTTTGTGACGCTGCCTTTTGCTACTTTGGCTTTTGTCGGCGCACTTTATCCATTCGCGTTCGCGCGCAATGTCCCTCTCCAAAAAAAAGAGCAGAAAACAAAAGCAAAACAATGAAATGAAAAATTATAGCTGTCAACCCGCTACCTCCGCTCCGCTGCCGCTGCCTCCTGCTTTGTCAGTGTAAATGTGTTTTTGCCATCAATTTTTATTGCAAGCAGAGTGTATCAATAAATTTTACAGCAATGTGCGGATTTAAAAGCAAAACTGCATTGGCTTTCCGCTCCTCTACTCCCCTGCCCAATCTCCTCTCTCCACTCACCAATCCCACACACACACAAGCTATGTAGCCTGACCTGCTGTCAGCACCTTATGGGGCCATTGTGTTGCTTTATGACATTCCAAGTTGGGCATAAAATGCTCTTTCGAATTGCGGCTAAATTTGCCTTCAATGCTGCCGACTCGGCCTGTGATTGTCATTTGGGTCTTTAAGAGGTTTACCGTATGCACCAATTAGTCCTAATTGGCCAATAAAAATGTATCTATCAACGATGAAAGGCGGCTTAGGCATTCCATGCAACTATACAGATATACATATATGCATATACATATATATTTGTTCGAGTGAATTTTTATACAACGCCTGTCAACAGGCGAAAAGGTTTAATAATTCGCTACGGAAATTCCAGTAAAATATTTTACTGTTGGCATTGCAAAGCGGTTTTCGAAAATAGTTTGACTGGAATGCCATCGATGCCCTCAGCGTAATTAAAGCGTTTTATAGTGCCTAGGCCAGCATATTCACATAGATATATTGATTTTCCTTCCGAATTTGCCAGCAGCTTTTAATATTTGTTGTCAGTGTTGGAAAAGGTCATAAAATAGCCATCATGCCTCAGCTTATCTGCTGAATTTATAGCACATGGGCAAAACAAAGCGATCATAAACAAAATCAATATGCTTTATATCAAAATTAATGGAGCTGCAATTTCACAAGTAGCACACACACACACAGGCACACACACACACACTCTGACACATATATGAACAGCAGCTGGGAAAAGTGTTGACAGCTGCTTTTATTCACCTGTCAGACACAGAAGCCGCTAAACTGTTGATAAGAGGAGGACTGAAGACAGAGCCGGCAGCTGGGCGTCAGAGCGTTCGGACCAGCTCCGGCAGCTATGCATCCGGGTATCCCCCATTTGACGGGAATCTGGGAAAATGCTGGGTGCTGGCTGCTGGGTGCTGCGGCTGTCGAGGCAATCAACAGGGGACCAGACACAAGCGCTGTGACAGCCCAGCCAATAAAATTCCCTCACAATCATTTATCAATAACTTTCAGAGCTGAGCGATAGAACTTCAGCACCGCCCAGCCCCCCCGGCAAGCCCACGAGGGCGGGCTGGACACAGCATTACATGATAACGTGCAAAAAGAATGGAAATATGAAACAATCATGTATAAGTGCTGCAGAAAATATTCCAAGTGCTTGCTCCGAGGACGGAAAACAAAAGGAAAAACATTAACATCAAGCCACAGCTCAACGATGTCCGGACATCGCTGGACTCTGTCAGGCTCTGTGTAAATGTCACAAAGTTCGAGCGATTATAAATGACGTCGGATGTCGCTTGACAGTGAAATATATATTTTTTGAAAAGCAGCAGCTGATAAAACGAATTGACACGAAATGCTGCTGAGCACTGAGCTAGATGGAGCTCAGCCATGGGGAGGATGACTAACTTTTATTTAGCTACTTTAGTATGTGATTCTCATTACAATATTCGCTTTAATTATTTATACATAGCGAGAAGTGTGACTCTATTTGTCTCCGAATAGAGCGACTCTACAAACTGAAAAACTGGTCAAAATGAAAATTCTGCGGCAGACAGCAAAAAAAGAAAAATCTGTCAAGATTTTAATTAATTTTTATCTGCGCTGTTGCTATCTGGCTTTTGCCTTCTGACGGCTTTTTAGCATAAAGTGAAGTGAAAATGTAATTCAATTTTGGCGAGAGGCGCTCTAGAGGTGGGCCCAGGGGAGCAGAGCAGAGTGGGGCTGGGCAGGAGCAGGAGGAGGAGGAGGAGCAAGTGCCCACTGCAGCTGACAGTTCAATTCGGTACAAGTGTCCCTGAGAGTTATTTGCCGTCGCCTTACTTTTATTTACAGCGAAGATCTCCATAGTGTGGAGCGCCTTTTGCAAGGCAAATGAGCGGCAGGGGTGCCACGCCCAGCCAGCTGGCAGCTCAGGGCAGGC